AGTTTAGTCTATGAAGTTTTTATATGGCTTTTTCAGACCTGCGATTTATTTTTATTTTTTTTCTTGTTGACCTCTGATCCTCTTGTCGTCTATCAGATAATCTTTTATTTTACCGTTTATCTAATTGACTTCCATTCTCTTTTTTCTCCCAGTTTGCTCCCAGTTCTCCAAAGGCGTGTACGCCATCATCGGCCTCTATGACAGGAAGACAGTCAACATGCTGATGTCGTTCTGCGGAGCGCTTCATGTCTGCTTCGTCACGCCGTCCTTCCCCATCGAGACCGCTAACCAGTTTGTGATCCAGCTGAGGCCTGAGCTGCAGGACGCTCTGGTGGGAGTCATCGAGCACTATGGATGGACCAAGTTTGTCTACATGTACAGCTCTGACTCAGGTAGGGAATTTAACCACCACCACATTCAGGCTCTCATTGCTAATGCGGGATTGGTTGTAACACCTGTTCATATTATTCTCTGAAACGCTGTAGAGGCTACTGCCACATGTAACCATGGAAATGGAAACCACCTTTTCAGACACAGAGAATTTAGAAACTAGAGCCGTTTCTCAATTCAACATGAGTACGGACTCGTGTTCTCGCCAAGTTTGTTCTTGAGAAGAACACAGGAAAGTCTGGACTTGGAAAGAACCGGAACGTGCAGAATAAATCTGGGTCAATTGGAACAGAAGCGTACTGATGACATCACCACCTGCTCGGCTCATCTGGAGCTGCATTTCACCTCCTGCTATTAATAGTCTCTAGATAATAATAAATTATTACTTTTTTAATTTAGTGGGGGAATAATAATTAACACAGTCAGATAAACACAAATCAAATGAACATTTTGGCAAACAAAACATAAAAAAATCGCAAATCAGAGCCAGCGGTCCTTCACACGCAGCTATGCAGAGAGAGGGCCACTGCAGACGGGCTGCGGTTAGCCCTTGCTGCCATTAGCTGTGGAGCTCCGCTGGTGCCGCGGTCCTCTCAACTTAGGAAATATTTTTTTTTATCCCGCATTAAATCGGTTAATGGGCCATATAGTGACTCTTTAAAGCAGGAGTCCCCATCCTTTTTTAAACTGAGAGCTACTTCATTGGTACCGTTTCACGTGAAGGAGCTACCA